GAAACTGTACTAAGAAAAGTGGTTTAGTGGTGAGGCCTGATTGGACTTCTTTTTGCTTTCCTGATCAGTTGCACTTACCCTCCTCGGGACCCTCCCCCAGGCCCAGCATGGCGGTCCGGGGCCCCACACCTCATGGGTGGCGGTGGTCCTTGCAGGGAGGATGGAAGAGGAGAGTACACATGAGTGGCCACAGGCGGGGCCCCCAGGCAGGGTTGGCATCACTCCCAGCAGCTGGGGTAGTGAGACCTCCCCGAGGGGGTGCACGCTGCCCGTCCCCTCATCAGCTATTTGCTGAGAGCCCAGTCTCAGCGTGTACAAGACAGAGGCTACCTTGAGCAGGGGCTCCGCCACATTCCTCTCACCCAGAGAGGGGCAGTGTGTCAGAAGCTCCGCTGGATCAGGGACTGCTCCCCAACCCCCTTGCCTGGGGGAGTAGGAGGGTGCGTGGATGTGGGAGAGGAGGGAGGGTCAGACAGGGATACTCAAGTAACGTACTCCCTTCTGGGAAGGGACAGAAGTGCTATTCTTCCTCCCAGTCTTGGAAACCCAGCACAGAGGACGAGCCCCCATCCCTCCTGCATGACCCTAACAAGACAACCCATTAGTTAAAAGGCTGTCTGCACGTGAATTCCTAATCTTTGAGGGATTATGGTGGGAACCCCCCCAATCATAGGTAGCTATTAGAAGGTAAGGACTTCGAGCTCCCCTGAGCCGATGCTTAGGAAAAGCCAGCTCTTTGGGTGTGAAAGGCTGCTTATTACCTTCCTTCTCGTTGTCTGAGAGTCCAGCCGGATCACCAGGTGAGGCAAATGCAGTTGAAAGAGGGGACAGATACATGGAATCTCGTTTAAAAGGCTGCAGTCTTCTGATGGCTAAATTTATCGGAAACCATTATAAATGCTCTATGATCAAGAAACTTGCATTTTATTTCTGAAAGTCTTTATCAACATGAATAATCTGCGGTTGGAAAATTTGCCACTCTTTCCTTGGTGAAACGGAATGTTTCCTTGAAGCATTTTCTCCTCCTCCATATCTACCCTGCAGTGGCCTCTTCTACTCCGTGTCTCCAGGTTGGCCGCTATAAATTCATGTCTGCCCTGTGCAGCCATTCCGTGAAGGAGTGGCACTAATCAAGTCGGCGACCCACTGCTTGTCCACTACAAAGCCCTTCTATCCACCTGGCCATGTCCCACACTGTGTTTCCTTACAGTGTGTGGACTCAGACACAAGGCTTGACGATGTATCAGATTCACCTTGAAGATAGCAGGGGACTAGCAGCCGAAACAGGATAGTTGCAACAAAACCTTGGAAAAATTTCTGAAGCTCTGAAAGAGTCCGTGGAACAGATAAAGTTATGACTGGTATTGCTAGTCATATGCAAAGAGAGTTGCTGCATTTTCCCATAAAATAGTTGCACTGGGGGGAAATGAGGAACATCCATTAATTTATTGCTTAGAGCCCTGTTAACTTAGGATCCTTAGTTTGTTGGCTCTTTCAATGCATGTCTCCATAAGTAGGTTAGGGAGACCTTGTTATCTTGTATCCCAGATAAGGCAAAGCCATTGTTAGTGACTACATCAAGGGCCCACAATTTCAGAAAAGAAAAAATGAAAAATGAAGAAAAAGTTATCTGAAGGCACCTGCCTCTGCTAGGGTGATAGCAGCCCCTTTGAGCTGTAGACGTTTAGCGACAAGGACAAGAAAACCTTTCTTGTGGACCATTTGGATGACTGAAGAGTCACCCAGTGAAACAAAGGGCTGTCAGCAAAGGACCATGCTGGAATTAGGTGCGGGAATTAGAGCAGTGAAGAAAATAGACAAAAGTCCCTTTTCTTATGGAGCTAACATCGTTGCAGATAAAAATGGCTTATTTGGTCTCAGGCACTTTTCTAAGCACTTCACATATATTAACCCATTTGACTCTCACACATCCCATAAGAGTAGGCACTTACCATCCCTATTTGTGAAACTAAGGAACTGGGAAATCAAGCACCTTGCCCAAGGTTACCCAACCAGTAAATGGCAACTTTTTTTTTTTTTTTTAACCCGGTATGTATTAGTGCATCTCAAACTTTAAAGTTCATATGACTGACCCAGGGTATCTGGTTTAAAAGCAGGTTCTGATCCAGTAGGTCTGGCTTGGGGACCCTGTGATTCTGCACTTCTGACAGGCCCCCAGATGACACTGCACTGCTGGGCTGTGGGCCACATTTGGAGTGGGAAGGCTGTGGATGATGATGGGCATGCTCGATCTCCTGAAAACTCAGGTCCTTGGAGATAATCTATTTTTCCTTTCTGTATTGTCTTCATTGGGTCTCTTTATGGTTATCCTAGCCTAGGCTCAATTAGTTGAAGCTATGAAAGACCTTTCAAGCTAACTCAGAAGAAAGGTAGGGATAGTTTAAGGATATGGAGCTCATAGAATGCAAGGATAGCAGCCACATTACATCAGCCCTCTTGGGGCCTAGAGCTCCAGCAAGATCAAGTCCTCAGCTCCATGAATCCTCTCACTTCCAGTTTCCCCTTGGGGGTTCTGCCCCTGCTCCGTTCCACTTGCCGGTTTTTCCAGCATGGCTGCCGCCTGGAAGTCCACAGGCTCTTTCAGCCCCAGGGCCCACAACAACCATATATACTGTGTTTCTTAGTTTAAATTCTTGAAGGAAGAATCTGATTGATTGCTCTGGCAGTCAGCTGTGGGTGGGGAAATTAAGCAGAACTGATGATGGGCAAATTGTGTGGCTTATCGAATATTCCATGCAAGACCAAGAGTTCATTCCTGGAGGGCCAGACTGCTTACTTTGTGGGGCACTCAGAAAGAAATGGATTATCCATTTATTTACTAGGCACTTACCAGTTGCTAAACAGTCTACCAAGGGATGGGGATATAGAGGTAGAAGAAATATTTTAAGGAATTTAGGTTCCAATGGGAGAGTTCTTCAGTAGTGGCAGACTAGCTTATAGCAGACCAAAGCCTGCCTTCTGAGAAAAATTAGAAATCGGAAAAAAAATCTGCATCTCACCTGTAATAATTACATATTTACATATCATATATACATTTGTATTACATAATTAAATATATTTTAGCTATCCTAATTTTTCTCTGAAGGACTATCTAGATAGAGCGTAGGGAAGTTAGTGACCCCAATTGTTGGAGACACTTAACTCTTTAAGAAATTCAACCAAACTTAAGCAGCACTAGTTAAGAGAAGCTATGCAGAAAGTATCAATCAGGATGCCTAGGAGGCAAGCAGAACTTTTGGCAATTTTAACAATTGGAAGGGCCCTGTTTAATACTCTAGGCTTCTCACTGAGGATCCCTGAAGTTAGGGTAAACCTGAGATAGTCCAGACCATATAAAACTGAAACCCAGACTCTAGGCAGTTAAAATCCTGATTGGATTAGATGTTCATCCCTCTACTTTAACTTGTTACCAGGAAAATTAAAAAAAAAAATTTAAGATTTTATTTTTAAGTAAAAAATGTTTAAGATCTTATTTTTAACTAATCTTTACACCCAATGTGGGGCTCGAACTCACAGCCCTGAGATGAAGAGTTGCACACTCTACCCACTGACCCTGACAGGCACCCCGGAAAATAAAATTTTGCCTAGCATCTCTAAGGTTTTCTATATATAATGTCTGGCATTCAATTAAAAAAAGTGTTAAGACATAGCAAGGGACAGGATCAAAAGCAAAGGCAGGTTAAGAGAAACAGGTCAATGAGTGATGCAGATATGAAAGTTATCAGGCACATGCATTAAAATACTATGATTAATATGGTTTCAAAATTAGGTGACAAGCTGGAGAAATTCATCTGGGAGCTGGGATATATAAACACGAATAAATTAATTAAATATAAAAAAGGATTAATAGATGGGTTTATCAGATGGGAAGACTGGCGATCTGCAAGATGGATCAATAAGAAATACCCGGTATAAGGCCTAGAGAAGTAAAAAGATGGAAAATTCAGATTGAAATTCATGACAATATAATACAAAAGTTTTTGGGAGGGACAGTAAATAGAGTTAAAGTTTCAGACGATCTCTGCCATATGCCTTACCTCTCATACTGATACAATCTCCATTCCCACCTCCTTTGTCTTTCTATTCAGGTCCTAGATTCTCTTCTCTAGAACTCTCCAGTGTGGTAGCCATGGACCACAGGTGGCTATATACATTTAAATTAAAATAAAATTAAAAATTCAATTCCTCAGGTCCACGTGGACTAGCCACATTTCACATTCTCAAGTAGACACAGGTGTCCATTTCCTTCATCCTGGAAGTTCTATAGGACAGTAATCTCATTCCTTGACATTTTGCTTTTTTTCGTCAGCTTAATCAGGTGTACTGAAATGTATGCCTACTGCACAGAACCTTTCCATGGTTCCAACCTCTTCCGTGTAACGTTCAAGGTTTTGCACTGTGTAGCTTAGTTCTGTTTCCCTGACTGTTGAAAGCAGGCACAATAAGTTCAGTGATCAACTACTGACTAAAAGTGGACAAAATAATCTCAAAATCAGATGCTTCCTGCTGTGTGTGTATCTGGCATGGAGTGGTGCTCAAAGCACAGACCCTGAGCCGTTAGATGACTTCAGGCTCCTCTCTCTAGAGGTACCCGGCAAGTGCACCATACTTAGAAAGATATCCACTAAAATGGTCAAATAAATGTTTTGGTTTTTGGAATTCCCACTGCGGAACTCTTTAGTTGGCAAGTATGTGGGGCAAGTGGGACTTCTACTGTACTGAGTCCCAGCTTTGCCATTTATTAGCTTTTAAACAAAGACAACCTACTTTCCCCCCCACTAGTGTCTCAAGTGTTATGTGTCAGGCATTGTACCTCTCCCTCATGTGTGAGTTGTGATAATTAAATGTGGTTTTGCAAATGGGAAAATTGCTCTATAAATGTAAGTGCCACACCATATGGCATTATTTTGGATCACAGTGTGAGCCGGGTCCATAAACTACTGTACTTCATGCTCTGCCATTTCTTTTTTGTCTTACAGTGATTTCCCTCAAAGCTTCTGAAGATTCATCCGTTGAGAAAAAGAAAGAGACCTGGGCATTTTTTGAAGGTAGACCTTGCATGTTTCTTTATTATAAGATGTCCCTCCCTCGCTTTTAGATAATAGGAAGGGAATAGAATGGGAAGAAAATATAACCGAACTCAAGGGGGTCACCACTTGGGGTACACCAAATTGAACACAACCCAAGGAAAATACTGAAAGCTAAGGACTTTTTATTACTTGGGTTACAAGTTAGGAGACAGGGAGATAGTTCTCTAAGCACCGTCTCCCCATGGGGTTAGTACAGGAAGCTTTTACTCAGTGTGTTAGGGGCTGACGCAGGGACCTGCCATCGGTACTTTTGGTTCAGTTGCGCATGCCTCGCATGTCAGCATGCTAGCGCATACCTCGTACGTTCTAAAAAATGGCAGGACATTCTGTCCATAGGAAGTGATGTTAGTATAATGAGCTAAAGGTAACTTCAGGTCAGCTCACGGGGGGCTTCTGTGCAGGTCCTCAGCTCCAGCCTGGCTCACGCTGGCACCCATGGGGGCTGTTAGGAGAGACACACCTAGTAAGGGGATCTCAGGTGAAACACCCAGTTGGGCATCTCCTTGGCTGGAACTGTTGGTTCTCTGTGAAATGAAGCACATTCCTTCTTTGCTTTTGTCCCTTCCCTTCCCACTTTCTGCTGATAGCTTCCATCCCTCTTATTTGAGTAACTTCCTATTGCATTTTAGCCAACAAAAGGACCCTGACTTCTTGACTCAGTTGGTTAAGCATCGAATCTTGACTATTTCGGCTCAGGTCTTGATCTCAGGGTAGTGAGATTGAGCCCCATATAGGGCTTAGCCCAGAGTCTGCTTGTCCCTCTCCCTTCCCCTCTGCCCCTCACCCACTTGTGCTCTCTCTCTCTTTTTCTTAAATAAGTAAAATCTTTTGAAAAACCCAAAAAACTATATATTTATACATATAAAAAACCCCCAAAACTATATATTTACATATACATAAAAAAGCTATATATTTATATATATATATTCCCAGGGTGGGAATTCCTGGTGGTATCAGCCCATGGGTTTTGAAAGAGTAGAGGACAAAACTCCAATCTGTATAATTTGGGGTGGTTTTGTTTTGCTCCAGAATTCCTACTCTTAAGTGATTTAGGGAGGGATCTTCAAGTCATGTGAAAATGAAATGTACACCTACTGTGACAAATTTTATCTCCGGTTTCTTATAGAGTTTGGGGTTCTAGAAATAGTTTGAGAACCTTCAGCAAGTGATTTTCAACCCATGTTGGAAGCCCCTGGGGAGCTTTAAAAACACTGATACCTGGACCACAGCTCTGGACATTCTGATAGAGCTGGAACTTGTTAAAAGCTCTCCAGGTAACCCCAGCAGCAGCCCTGGCTGGTCCCAGATGAGCCGCTGCAGCAGAAACATTACCTGGGAGCCCGATACAAAGGCACAGTGTTGGGGCCTCCCCTCACTTACAGGATCAGAAACATTAGGAGTGGTGCCCAGCAGTCTGGGTTTTCACAAGACCTCGGGGGGGGGTGCGGGGGCGATCCTGCCGCACTCAGATTGGGGCCTTGGAGCAATGATTCTCTGCAGGTGGTTGTGCCCCTCCAGGGCGCACATGCCAGTGTGTGGAGGATACATTTTTGGTTGCTATAACTAGGCTTTTGATGCTCCTGGCCTCTACTGGATAGAGGCCAGGGGTGCTGTTAAATGTCCTAACAATGCACAGGTCAGCTCCCCACAACAAGTAAGTTATCTGGCCCCAAATGTCAAGAGTGCCGGGGTTGAAAAACCTTGCCTTACTGAGAGTGACGAAAGTTCACAGGAATTATTATCGCAAAGTAGGTGAGGATTATGACCAGAAGCAATGAAAGAAGGTACTTGGTGAGTTCTTAGGCAGAGCCTTTGGTCAGTGAAAAACTGATGAATGTTAAAAGGTGAGATCAGGAAATTGTGAAGGGTTACACTTAGTGAAGGCATGGCATTTATGGATGATGAATCCCCTTGCCGAACAGATCTAGGGAGATGTGTGTGCCTTGGAGGCTTCCCCTCACCTTTAGTTAACTCACAGATGTGGTGGAAGGAGATCGTGCCCCATGGTGGGAAGACGGGCGCTTGGATCCAAACCTACCCCTTCCAATAGCCAGTTAAAAGCAGTGGATGGAGGCACTTCCCTTCTTAGAAAAATATAATCATGATTGTGAACATTGTTTGCAAACCAGACAGTGTCACTCAGGACATTGGGATTCATTGTTTTGCCATTAAATATTTTCTTTGTCAGATTTCACTTTCATTCAGTAGAGATTCCTTGTATCCCCTGCCTTTTCTTATTCAGGCTTTGTGGCTGTCTTTTTATTTAATGACCCTCTCCCAGTGCAATAATCCCCAGCTCCTTCCCTCAGCCTTTCATTCAGGGAATGCCTATTTATTAGCAAGGAGATGAAAGCGACTTTACTCCTCATGGAGTGAAACAATAGAAAAAACAATTGATTTACCCCATGTTTCTGGGAGCTGCCCCATGGCCCAGAGCCCTACGATGGGGGAGAAGTATGGAGACATCCAGGGCATCCCTAAGGTAGGTCACTGGCAGCTGTCACGGCTTTCCTGGGGGGTTGTTAGTAACCTGCATTCTGCGCTCCTCACCGAGAACCTGATTATTGCCTTTAGGAAGGGAGCAAAACATTTGTATTGGGGCCCAGGGTGTTTCCCTAGTGCAAATGGTCTAAGGACTGTATTTGGAAATAATCCATGGTACAGGGGCACCTGGCTGGCTCAGTCGGTTAAGCACCTGCCTTTGGCTCAGGTCATGATTTCGGGGTCCTGGGGTGGAGCCCTGCTTTGGGCTCCCTGCTCAGCGGGGAGTCTGCTTCTCCCTCTGCCCCTCCCCCTGCTCATGCACTCTGTCTCTCAAATAAACAAATAAAATCTTTAAAAAAAAAATACCCGTGGTACAAAAAACAAGACTCCATATATTTGGAAATATGGCAGCATGTGGTCCCAACATGCCTTGCAGCATCATCAGCATGTCTAAAACAAGTGTGTAATTAATAGTGGTTTATACTTCGCATGTAGCTGTCAACTATCAGGGTCACTCTCCACCTGGCTCTCTACACAAAATCCGTAGCCCAGCGTGGGCTTGCTTCTCAACACAGAGACTTAGGTCCCTTCAGAAAAGAATTGGAGTCCTCACTATGTCTAATGCCTCAGAGCAGCTGTTTCCAGAGAGTTCTTTCCCCGGGATTCCGGCAGCAGTGGCCGTGTGTTTTGCTTTCTTAACCCAGCCACGGTGTCGGCGAGGTCAGGGGTACGGATGAAACTCCCTGGCGCCTGATCTCGAGCCTTTGCCCTTTTGTTCCTGGATGGGACAGCTGCAGCAGGACCTGCGGAGGGATGGCCGTCCCCCTGGGGCTCCGCTCAGCTGACCACATGCCCGCGGCACAAAACCCAGCATTGTCGGGCCTCTTGGTGAAATGCTGGAGTGAGTTAAAATCCCTCAGGACCATTGCTCAGGTATTTCTCCCCGAGCAAGATGATACTACAAGCTGGATTAAAAAAAAAAAACAAAAAGCCTGCAGTTTGTCACGTAGATCTGAGATCCTGGTGTTTGCATTTTCCCTGGAAGAGTAGAGGACTGACATGGACTTTGTCGAGTCAGTGGTCTGGGAGAGTTGCTTCCTTCAGTGTGCGGAGGTATGCTGGGGCCACCCGGCTTCCAAGCAGCGCGGAATATCCCAGCTGGCCTCTGGGTTGCCCAGCAACAGGTGCTGCCTGCCCTGCGGTGGGCCTGGTGTTCTGGGAGTGGGGAGCTGACACAAGCTCACTGTGCCGCCCCCCACCCCCCCGTCTTGGCCTCCCTGCCGCATGAGTGTCACTCCAGCCTGCCGCCCCGCCATCTGCTTCAAGGAGGCCTGGGCTGGGGCGGCTGGGGTGGCTGGGGGGTTGGGGGGTGACATTTTCTGCATGGCGGCTTGCAGCTGAGCCTAAAAGTGACATTGGTGCCTTTGGAAGTCCGATGGCAGAAGACAAAGCTGCACATGAGTTTGAGGAACATAACAAGATTTTTAGAATGATTTTGAGGATGCAGGTATATGAGGTGTTTTAAAAAAACTAACCCCAGATTAGGTTAAGTGCAGAGGTTTTTGTTCAGTTTGGATCTGAAGGCTTGGATTCAGCCTCCAGACAAGCATTGTTTGGCCCGGTGTGGTCTGAGTTTTAAAACCTCTGAGCCAACATTTATAATTAGAGAGGTGTGTGCAAGGAGGTTGAGGGAAGGGCGGAGATAAGGCAGCATGGGGCTGGCTTCCAGGCGGAGGACAGCTGTCTGGAGCAGAGTCGTGGCCGCCTCTGCTGGGCAGAGCGCAGCTTTACTCTAGGGCTCGCCCGGCGGCAAGGCAGTGCTCGATCTAGGTGTTTCTGACCCTGGCTTAAATGGCTCAGTGTTCTACCTCTGTTTGCAGAGAAAATCGGGGAGGTGGTTTCAGTGTTTTGAGCCGCTAAAACAGGGCAATTGTCTTTATGCAGCAAAAGGAACTCTTGGAACAGAGGGAAAAAATTGGAACATTGGGGTCCTGGGTGCTGCCCCATCCGGGGAAACTCAGAAGTTCTGTTTGAGCTTTTCTCCTCTGGCAAGGTGACCCTTGCTCAGGTTCCTGTAGCTTCAGGAACACAACAGAGAGCAGGCGCAGTTGCTCCCAGGCCTGTGGGGACGCGCACACAGGCAGCTGGTGCCTGCCGGCCAGTGTCCCCAACCCGTGAGCCTGTGTGCTTGGCTGTGTAGCTGAGCCTTCCGGACTGGCCAGATGTTTTATGGTCTGCAGCTGGGGTTGCCTGTGGAGAGACCCCTCTGTGCCACATGGTAGAGGCTGTGATCTGAAACCAGAGCGTGGACCTCTCGGAGCCCCTCGCCTCCTGCCGGGGCACAGCGGGCCACAGATGCCTACAGTGTGCTTCTGGGGACGCTTGTGGGAGATTCGCACCATGACCTTGTCCCTGCTTGATTGCCACAGTTTCCAAACCAAGGAAAGGGCTCCAATGAGGAGGGAGCTCGTGGAGGACACTGCTCTGCTCCAGTGGTCCAGAAACTTCATTCAGTGAGACGGTTTGTCTCTCCAACAAAGAATGAGACTGAAGCCAGATGGCCCTTGCTGTTTTGGTCCTGGGGCCAGCATCTTTGGAGTCCCTTGGAGGCAGATGTTGTGTCCTCTTGCCCCACGTCTGCGTGCCTGGCAACAGGACTGCATTATTTGCCATTATCTCGTGCCAGACAGAAATGGCTACGCAGTTCTGGTCCTGGAGCAGTTCGCTCAACTGCATGTAAATCTGGGACTGGCCCTATGTTCTCTGTGTTCTGGCCCATGCCGTGTCCTGTCATGAATCTTGGTCTGTGACCCCTGTTCTAGCTTTCAGAGTTTTGTTTAAATGGAGACCCAAGCCCCTAGCTCTGACCATTCAGAGCTCTCACCAGGTGAATCTGCAAAGCCCACGTGTCTGAGACACAGATGTCTATACAGAAGGGGAGTTTTGATTTTTGTGGTAGGAGAGGGTTTCCGCTGTCTCAAACTCCACACATGCCACTGAACTCCTCGACCCCTGTAATCTGGCTCGGCCTCCACCATCCCACAGAATTGGCTTTCCCCCAGGACTTTTCCAGTAGCTTCTGAGCAGGAAAACCCAGTGGATGTTTTCCGGCAGCACTTGATGCTATTAAAGAATCTTTCTTACAACATCTACTCTCTTGGCTTCTAGAACTCTGAACTTCAGTCTTCCTCTGCTTCTGTGACTGACTCCCAGCTCTCTCTGTAGCAGACTCTTCCTAACCACCTTCCTCCTCCCTTAAATATTAAGGCAGGTGTTCCCTTCACCTGCAGCCTTATCCTACTGTGCTTTCTACTTCTTTTACTTTTAATTCAGGCTCCTAAGTTCCATGAACAGAAGCCGTCTCAGACTAACTTAGCAAAAATGTTGACTGAGCCTAAGACCATGGGAGGACCTCGTGGACTCTGGGTCAGAGACTACACTGAGCCTCCTGGGGTGTGAGCCAGGGAAGAGAGAGTTGAAAGGAACCTGAGATGTCTGATTCTATCCCATCCCGCCTCTTCCTCTCTCATTGACTGCAGCCTCACCTGCGTCTCTAGCTCACTGTGGAAGCCAGCCCCCCCGCCGCTCCCAGCATGCTGCTTTTTCCGTTTGGACACTTAACTAACTGCTTCTCCAGGTCCCAAGGGCTTTACAAAGGTGCATTCCTGTTGACTCAACAATTGCACTTTTAGGGACTTCATCTTAAAAACCTAATATGAGAGGTGCATTAAGCTTTGAGTTTGTGAATGCTCATCATACTCATTTATTATAGGGAGCAGTTAGAAACACTTTGAGTGGCCAGTAATAAGGTCCCATGAAGCCACTTATATTAATCTGATACATTTTTTTCACTCTGTTTCTCTCTGTTTTTATTTTTTCTATATATTTTTGCATTTTCTTTGTTTTTTTAAATATGACTTAGCACAGAGCCCCAGTCCTCTTTGAAGCTCCTTGTGACCTCCTCAGGCCAGTTGAGTTCCTTCTCTGTGTGTTTCTAGTACTGGGCGCACACTTCTATTGTCACAAATGCCATACTGCTCTCTGATTTCTTGATGAGACTTTTAAATATCCATTTTTATATTTCTTGTACTTAGGAGAGTGCTGAACATGGCTGATAAGAACTGCCTGTTGGTTCAAGAAATTTAAGTCAGTAGAAAAACATTTTTGCTAAGCTCAAACATCTGTAGCTTTTTGCTGCAGAAAAGGATAAAATAAGGCGTTTGGCTTCCCTTTCCCTTTCTGAGCAGTCGGCATTTTACCAATCAGACTGGTGATGAGGTTGATCATTGGAGTTTAAGAAATGGATGTATGTTGTTATGGGCTCAAGGTTGATGTTCCCCCCCCCAATTCATATGTTGAAATCCTAACCCCTAATATGACTGTATTAGGAGATGGGGCCTTTGGGAAGTGATTATGTCATGAGAGTGGAGCCCTCATGAATGGGATTATTTGCCCTTATAAGACGAGACCCCGTAAGAGCTTGCTTGGTCTCTCTCTGTTCTCTGCCATGTGAGGATACCAAGAGAAAATGTCCCCAAACCAGGAAGAGAACTCCTACCAGATACCGGTTCTGCCAGCACCTTGTTCCTGTGAGAAGCATATGTTTATTGTTTAAACTGCTCAGTCGATGGTATTTTGTTATTGCAGCCCAAATTGACTGAGACATATATGATCATGGTTTAACTTAGAAAAATTATTGGGAGTTGTAGATTAACATGTATTTCTGAGAAATGTTACAGGGATCCCTTGTACCCATTTGTGCCCTTAACCCAATTTCTCCCCATTGTAACATCTTGCAAAACTCTAGTACAACATGGTAACCAGGATGTTGACATTGATGCAGCCAAGATACAGAACATTCCCCTCCCCACAAGGGTTTCTTATAGCCAAACCCATGTTCCCCCCATCAGCTACTCCCTCTTTAACCTCTGGCAATCACTAATCTGTTCTCTATTTCTGTAATTGTCATTTCAAGAACGTTCTGTAAATAAAGTCATATAGTATGTAGCCCTTCTGGGAGCTCTTCCCCCCCTCCTCCCACATACACACTTAGCATCATTGTTTGGAAGTTCCAGATTGCTGCATCACTAAGTAGTATTCCATGGTGTGTATGGACCACAGTTTGTTGAGCCGTTCACCTCCTGAAGGACATCTGGACAGTTTCCAGTTTCGGGCTACTGTAAATAAAGCTGCTATTTTGTGTGAACTGAAGTTTTCATTTCTCTGGGACAAATGCCCCAGAGTGCAGTTGCTGAGTTGAAGGGTATTTGTAGATGTATCTTTTAAGAAACTGTTTTCTGGGGTGGCTGTACCATTTTATATTCTCACCAGCAATGCCGAGTGACCCAGTTTACTCATATCCTTCCTGGTATTTGGTATTGTCGCTATTTTTTATTTTATTTGTTCTGATGGGTGTGTGAGATAGCTCAGTGTGGTTTAAATTTGCATTTCTCAAATGGCTAAGGAGGTTGAACATCTTCTCATGAACTTATTTGCCACCTGTATATTCTCTTTAGTGAAATATCTCTGTTTCTGCTCATTTTCTAGTAGGATTGGTTGTCTGTTTTTTTACTGTTAAGTTTTGAGAGTTCTTTATATTTTACATACTAGTCCTTTGTTGGATATACAGTTACAAATATTTCCTCCCAGTCTGTAGCTTGTCTTTTCATTCTCTTCTTATGGGTTTTTCCAAAACAAAAGGTTTTAATTTTGATGAAATCAAATTGATCAAGTTTTCTTTATATGGATGATGCTTTCAGTGTCAAGTATAAAAAAGTATCTGCTTATGGAGCCTGGGTGGCTCAGTCGGTTAAGCATCTGCCTTCGGGGCGCCTGGGTGGCTCAGTTGGTTAAGTAACTGCCTTCGGCTCAGGTCATGATCCTGGAGTCCCGGGATCGAGTCCCACATTGGGCTCCTTGCTCAGCAGGGAGTCTGCGTCTCCCTCTGACCCTCTTCCCTCTCGTGATCTCTATCTCTCATTGTCTCTCTCTCAAATAAATAAATAAAATCTCAAAAAAAAAAAAAAGCATCTGCCTTCGGCTCAGGTCCAGGGATTGAGTCCTGAGTTGGGCTCCTTGCTCAGCAGAGAGCCTGTTTCTCCCTCTGCCTGCCACTCCCCCTGCTTGTGCTCTTGTGCTCTCTCTCTGACAAATAAATGAAGTCCTTAAAAAATATATTTATAAAAATAAATTCTTTGCTTAATCCTAGATCCCAAAGATTTTTCTCCTATACTTTCCCCCAAAGTTTATATTTTTTACTTAAGCTTGTGGTTTATTTTGAGTTAATTTTTGGTAATGTATGAGGTTTATCTTACTTGGTACCTCTCCTCCGATGTGGCTCGTCCTGACAACGCCCCACTGTGTCCTTGCCTTCAGATCTCTACATATATGCTGTGCTCGTGTGCTGTGTGGGGATCCTCAGTGTCGTCCTCTTCACCCTGACCATCATCTGGCAGTCTGTATTTAGCAAGAGGAGAGCCAGAGGTAAGAGAACCAATAAGTCATGTCTGGAGTGGGAGCACAGCCGAACCACAGACAGGCGGAAGATGCTGGGCAAAGTATAACCTTGTTTGAAAAATGCATCGTGAGTCAGGGATTATGTCCCTGTGACTGGTGAGTACAGCGAGTGAGGAGATGTGTCTCCCTTGGACTCTGCTACAATCAGCTGTGCCCACGTTGAAATTTCTCTTTTTCTCAAATCCCATCCTTCTGCGGTCTCTGGGGGCGGCGGGGGGCGGCTTACCTCTCATTCGCCCAGACTGGGCTGTGGAGTCAGATGAACCTGATTTTGATTCGGGCTCTGCCGCAGAAGACTGATTTTAGACGTGTTCCTTAGCCACCCTGAACTTCAAGGTCCTCATCTATGAAACGAACTGGGGTGGACCCTGCCTCGCTCAGAATGCATGTGCTTATGAGTGTTCATTATTTACTTACAGTACCAGCGTGGCGCCAGGCAGGCAGGCAGGGTCAGGAAGGCTCCGCCCACCCGGAGGGGTCACTTCCATCTCCTTTCCTGTCGATATCCCTGTCGCCCTAGATCTGTCCTCAGCCCCTTCCTGCTCTGCTCTTTCTCTTTTCATGATTACAGTTCTGGGGATTCCGACTCTCACCTCCCTATGCAGGCTGCCTGCTTTCCCTCTCAGCCCCCACCCCACAGCAAGCCTCAATGTCTCTTTTCCACCAGAGCCCGTACATTTCCTCTGAAATACCCTCCCTGCCCCCCTTCTGCATTCCCAAAGCAGGTGCGGACGCGGGAGCTCCCCGAGATGACGTGGATGACAGCTGAGCTCTGGAATTAGACCGTCTATGGTTCAGATGGCTGCTCTTCACTTACCAGCTGATGACCTACCCGCTGAGCCTCACCTTTCCCATCTAACGGGAAAGCGCTAGTGTGCCAGTCTCATGGGATTATTGAGAGGATAAAGTTCAACAACAACAGCAACCACAAAACCTTTAACACATTCTGACTCTTGTAAGGGTCCTGCGTGTACAATGACATGAGGTTAGAGTTACACATCAGCCTGAGGTCACAGAGCTGGGAAGTGTTAAGATTTGGAAGTCACAGCATAAGGGAACCCTCGAACAGGGAGACGGAGCAGTGCTTCTGGAGGGCCTCTCCACCAAGGAGCAGGCAGGGCCCAGGGAACCCCGGAGGGAGGGCGGGGGTGCGCTCAGGGACCAGCCTGCAGCAAGCTGTTGGCATCGCAGGGTTAGGAGACGAGGACAGGAGAGGCTCTGGGAACTTGCGAGAGCTGCCGCTGTGGGAGAAGTGTCACCAGCGGGAGCCTTAGAGGAGAGACCCGGGCAATGCCAACCCAGGGGGCAGCAGGGAGGGAGCCGGAACATTCATTCCTCAGCCCTTCCTTCTCCCCTGTCCTCTGGATGTCCTGCTGTCTTTGCATGGCTCTCACCAACTAGGAGCCAGAGGGCAGGGCGTGGAGGGAGGTCAGCCATCCGGGCCAGTCAGGGTGGAGAGGGCACGGAGACACCCAGCACACTCAGTGCTGCAGACAGAGCCCGGTCTGTGGCGGATCTTGCAGGGCCCATACCCTTCCCACAGTGCTCCGGGCGGCCTCTGTGCTGTGCCTGAGAGCCTTCCTCTGCAGCATCTGCCTACCTTGTCAAGAGTGCCCAAGCTTGTCTCCCATTGCAAACCCTTGCCTATGCCTGTGAGATTGTGGGACGTGGTGCACATGTGCAGATGCATTCGCCCCCTTCAGGAGAATAGCGAGGAAGGCGCAGGCCTATCATCTGGTCCACTCTCCTTGGGATTTGGCTTATGACAAATTCCCAACAGATGGGGGACAAATGTGTTTGTTTCCCAGCTGCTTTGCTCCCAACTATTGGAGTTTGGAAGCCACATAAGCAGTCTCCAAGCCTGTCTTGCCCCAAAGGCACCTCTGCCTGGGTTCAGGAGCATGGCAGGGAAGTGTGCCTTGAGCTGGAGGCTCTGTTAGTTCATAGGCAGGGTGGGGGAATCAAAGCAAAGGAGTTAGTTCAGGAGACATCCATCTCCTCCGGAGCCAACGAGGCCGACTGAGACACATACTCCAGGCCTCACACCCAGCCGCTGAGAACCCAGATCCCAGTCGCCCTTGTCCCTCCTGGAGCGGGCCCGGACAGACTCGTGTGCACCTGCATACAGTGTCGCAAGACCCGACTGAGCTTTCAAGAGCTTCGCCGGGACACCTGCTGAGGGCCACACTGCTCACTGGCTCCTCCACGTTCTTGTGTAATCCTCACTGCCAGTCTGGAATGACAGGCCCTATTGCTCCCGTTTGCAAGAGGACGCAGCTGAGGAGCTTGAGAAAGTCCTGAAATGGGTGTGCCGGAGCCCAAGCCCAGCCTGATTCCGAGGAAATGTCTGTCCAAGGAAAACTTCACCATCTGGGAGCCAGCCTTGCCAAGGAATTTTCCTTCAGCCTTCCATGGTAGTTGCTGCCAAGGTCCTTCCCAAACAGCAAGCATAGCTCCTGTAGCCCCTAGGGAGCTTGGCTTTATTACAGCAGGCTGGCATTCTGTAGCCCAGGCCGGGCAGGTCCTGCCCCATGGGGTGCTAGCAGCCAGGCACCTCCCAGCCACCACAGGACTGGGGACAGAGGACTGTGCGTGATGGGCCCGGGGTTACCCCTCACCTGGACCCCGGAGCCTTTGCACAGCGCTGCCCGAACCTTAAGGAGCAGACTGTTCGCTGGGAAACCTGCTCAAATGAAGATTCTGATTCGGTACGTCTCATGAGATCATGGTGGGGCCACCACTGTTGGTGTGAGGCCACACTTTGAGTAGCAAGGCCTTACAGCTGGTTCTTCTGAACTCTCTCCTACTCTGTACCCATCTTTGTTATAAGAAATATTTTGAAAGGATCCCATTACTATCTTGAAAGGAAACTCAGAGATGAGATATGCTTCCTGTACCCACAGAAATACAATCAGGCCTAGACTTGCTTGTTATATGGACATTTTCTGGGTTTTCTGTCACTATGTGTGGGTTGGGCCCTCTGCATCCTGGCCACCTGGAGGAAAGCCAAGCTCTCTTGCCTATGTAAGAACCACAGAGCATCCAGGTCTGTAGGCTGCTCACATACACAGGGAAAGCCGAGGTGAGCCCCACACCTGCTCTCCCGCTCCTTCAGCAGGATCTGTCTTCAAAGAGGATATTGGAGCAGCCATCTCCATTCCCGAAGCAATCCCCTGGAGGGTGTTGAGGTAAACAAAGCCCAGCCCGGAAGCTGGGGGGCCAGGGACCAGCGTCCTTCTCTCTCTTCATTCCCACTGCTCTGCCTTCACCCCAGCCTTGTTCTGCCTTGTTTTCCTGGGGTGCTCATTATTCACCTGAGCTGGAGCTAATTGCACCCATGTGTTACTTGCTTTCCACTTTCTCTGGAGCTGGGAGTCTTCGTCCTGGCTGTTAGTCCCGGGGTGCCTGGAACTTTGTCCCAGGGCCTCTGCGGCTCTGAGTCACCCTGGAAAACACCAGTCCTGGTGGCCCAGGGCCAAGCCCTGAGTTATTCCTCAAGCACACTGCTTTCCAGTGGCCTTCACTTGTTTGGGAATGAGTCCAGACTCGCTGCTTTGAGGGGACCCCAGCAATCCCCCAACCTTCTCTGTCTGAACTCTTACAAGGGCAGTTTGAAGGCACACTAGAACCAGGTGGAAGGAGAGGGGCTTAGCTCCTTTGTCGCTACTCTTTGTGTCTGTGAGATGTCAGTCTAGCTTGCACGTGCTGTGCTAGAACCCTCGCACTGGAGCCAGGGCTTCCTGGAGCTTGCTAGACCCCCTTGTTCCCCTGCTGCAAACTTGTTCTCCATGCTTCCCCATGGCGATGGGGCCAAAGAGCCTATGATCTTTACTCCCAGAGGTACAGGGAAGAAGGAGTCTGTCACGGCCATACTCAGTGCAGGGAGGAGGCTCAGTGCAGGAAGGAGGCTCAGTGCAGGGAGTGGGGTGGCTGTGGATGAGGAGCAGAGGGGAGACCCTGGGGCCTTGGGGAAGTTGATGGGCTCACCTGCCTGGTGTCACAGACGCTTGGACAATCCCTAGCATGAGCTCTCCTCACCACACACTCCTGAGATGCAGACTTGGTTTTCAGAACGTGTGGGAAGGTTGGCTGGCTCTCGTGGGCCCACTGCCGCCTTGGGAAGCGGGCCCACCCTCCCTGTGCTGGTGCTTGTCAGCCTCCCCAGGAGCGTAGTGTGGGAGCACAGGACCTGGAGCGTGGATCCAAGCTCCTTTACTTACAGAGTGGGTCTTTTCAGGCCCCGAGTAAACGTCCTGCGTCCCCAAGTGTCCTCACTGTAAAATGGGGTTAAGAGTTTCTCTTACTCGTACATCCACTGGGGATGCTTTTCCCAGTGTGGTGTGCCGGTCCTTGGTGTGGGCAGTTCCGGGGAGCACCTTCTCCCGGGTCCAGCTCACTTTCCAAACCACATCCTTCCATCACGGTCATGGTGACTGTGGGATGAGCCATCCCGACAGCAAGGGCAAGCAGAGCTACCCCACGCACTGTCCCCAGTAGAGATACACAGTAAGCCACGTATGTCATTGGACATTTTTGTAGTAGTCACATTAACAAGGTAAAAAGGTAAAAAAAAAAAAAAAAAAATCTCTTTTGTTTAACTCATTGTATCTAAAATAGCATTTTGACAATATCAATAGAGAGATTCTGAATGAGATATTTTACATTCCTTTGTTAAATCCAGCATGATTTCATGCTTCCAGCACTTCTCATTTGGGACTAGGTGTATTTCGAGTGCCAGCCTGGGGCCCACGACTTCCATATAGGACAAGTCTCTAGACACACAACTTTATGTGCTGCTGCTTTCCATCAGTGCTTTTCGTGTGGCCATGAAATGGCTCTCTGTAGCAAGAGAACAGGTGATGGGAAACCCCATTCTCCTTCTCAGTTTACCACTTGGTGACCCAGAGAAATGGCTTCACCTGTCCTAGTGTCGGCGCCGGAAGCACCGTCAAGGCAGGGCTGCTTCCTGGAGGGCCTGGGGTTTTGGATGTGACATGACGGGAGCCCAGTTCTGTGTAAAGGGAAGGGCTGACGGGAAGTGGGGCACACCCCTGGTCTTATCTCTCCCCCCAGGGAAGTGCAAACGGTCCTTTTCCAGGCCACTGGGCTCCCTGCCGGTGCTGGGGAGGAGGCCGGGAGAGCACAGTGCTCAGTCATTCTGGCTCCTTCTGCAAACGCACGGGACCTTTTGCAGGGGCCTGTCGCAGTGTTGGCACAGTGTGGGAGATGCTTGGGGAACAGAGCAGAAATATCCATGGGTCCTATCTCAGGGTCTCTGCAAGGCCTGGGGTCTGGAGAGGGTGCAGGCAAATTAGGGGAAAGACCGGGGAGGGTCCGCTATACCTTGAGGCCCCAACGCTGCTCCAGGGCCTGAGAGGATGGGGGAGCATGGCTACCTCCACTCCAAGTCACCCGACTGGGGGTGGTAATGGTGACAGAGACAGGCCCAGATGGGGAGGACACAGTCTTCAGCCTGGACAGGTCGTCTGGAAGGTTTGGCCATGAGTTGGGGGTTGGGAGCAGTGTCACCCTGGCTGAGGAGGCAGAGAAAGGGTAGCCCCAGAGCCTGGAGGTGAGAAAAGCAGTCCTTCCTCTTAGTCTTTAAAGTCCTAAAGATCCTAAGATCACCATTGAAAAAGAAGTGTGTCCTGAGTTTTCATTTCTGTGCAGTACGGTTGCGTTGTGTGGAGCCAGGAACCTCTGGGTCAAGTATGCTGGGTGGGAGGTCATGGCTCATGATGGAGACTGGCTCCAGGACCCCCCTTTATTGGCTTCCTTCTTTTCCTGGTCTCACTTCCCCCCCTCTCCAGTGGATTTGCTGGGATCGAGTCCCACATAGACTCTTTGTACTGAAATGCTTGTCTTTACAAGGCTCTGCTTCTCGGGCAGCCCTAGCTCTGGAGTCAGCACTGATTAGGTTACATATATTTAAAGGTGACTCTGGGCAAGGGCTATTTCTCAGGTGCACGTAAGTCTTAATGTTTGGTATGCAGGATTACTTTTGGTTCCCTGGGCAGTCCCTCTCATTAAAGGGACATCGGCCCTGTGTTTACCAGTCTGAGACCTTATAAACATCGGTCAGCAAGTGTTGGCTGAGGTGCATATGTTGTGCCCGGCACTGACCATCCTCACTGGGCTCCTGGTCTTTCTGAGTCAGCCCCCTCCCCTGTGGCCTGCCCTCCTGCTCCCTGGCTTCCTGATCTCCAGGCTGCTCACCTCACTGCCCCTGGACTGGATTTCCCAAAATACAGGTCCGTGCATGGATTCTCTAGGACTCTAGCCCCGGCTCTGCCCTGCCCAGCTGTGGCACAGTGGGCCAGCCATTTCTCCTGAGACTTATTCTCTGCATCTGTAGGAGCGCTAATACCAGCCCCCCAGTAACTCTGAGAATGGTAAGGAGTAGTTACAAGAGGGCTCTGGAGTCAGGCTGCCCAGTTTTGTCCCTTCCTAGGTGTGTTAGTTTGCTTGGGCTGCCGTAGTAAAGCTTCTGGGTGGCTGTCCTCTCCCTGTGTCTTCACCTGGTCTTTCCTCTGCACTTGTCTGTTTCCTAATTTTTTCTTAGAAGGACATCAGTCATGTTGGATTCGGGCCCACCCCAGTGACCTCATCTTAACTGAATCACCTGTTTAAAGGCCTCATCTCCAACTAAGTCACATTCTGAGGTGTTGGGTTTTAGGTCTTCCACATAAGAGGGGCACAGCTCAGCCCATAACACCGCTGTGTGACCTTGGTCAAGGTCATTAATCTCTCTGTGCCTCAGTGCCCCCCACCGTAGAATTAGGTGCAATGACAAAGTTTTTGCGAAGATTGAATTCAAATGCAAAGTTGTGGTCTTCAAACAGTTTTGCTTGCATAGCACCTAAAAGCATTTCAAAAACTATGCACCCTTGAACATTTTTTGTTGATGTCTAAACTTTTTCATCATAAATGTAAATTGTTGCAAAGGAGGTAATTTCCAGGGCATCACAAATATTGACATCTTAAAATGAAATGGTTAAATCTCTTTACATCTAAATGTCATGAATTTAGTAACTACCTCCCTTTATTTAAAAAGACTCTATGGGGTGCCTGGGTGGCTCAGATGGTTAAGCATCTGCCTTTGGCTCAGGTCATGATCCCAGGGTCCTGGGATCGAGTTCCACGTCGGGCTCCCTGCTCCTTGGGAGCCTGCTTCTCCCTCTGCCTCTCTCTCTCTCTCTCTGTCTCTCATGAATAAATAAATAAAAATCTTTATAAAAAATAAATAAAAAGACTCTATGAACATGTTTTAGCTGTTAGAAATTGTATATCGTTACTTTTTCTCCTTGAAATTTTATCTTCAATCTACTTCCCCCACCAAATTTTATCCCACTTTAATACAATTTTTTTGTTTACCCTTCTCTGTAAAAATAATGTGTGTACAAATTTAAATTAAGAAAATTTAAATTTCCTTATTCCATAAGTTTCTAGGTAATATATATTTTTGTATTGAGTTATTAATAGTACACAATTAGTAAGATTTGGAAAATGAGTACAAAACTAATCAAAACTCCATAGATATTATCAGTTTGGATAACCAATCATAAGAAGAACATTTTGTTGGAAATGTATTTTTATTAAAATAAATTTTTATTTTACTTCATATACCCTTGCATGAATCTGCTTAATAACGGAATTCAGCATCATTTCTATTCTTAGTAATAGAGTTCAGCATCAATTCCATACTTTAAAAAGTAGGAATAGAAATGATGCTGAATTCCGTTATTAAGCAGATTCATGCAAGGGTATATGATCTATCATTGAACATGATGTTTAATACTCGACCGGCTGACAACTGGATTAGGTCATTATTTAATCCTTGTCGAAAGCAAAATATTGGAAACCTCTCTGCTGGTGAAAGGTTTAGTTGCCCAGTCATTAGTCATTTGCTTTCTCAACACTGGCCCCAGCATTTCAAATCATTTCTCATTTGGTGCCTCCTATTTTTCACCTTCATAGTATAAGTCAGGATGGGCAAGAGGTGTGCCTCGATTTTGTGGAGAGAAACAGTGCTGTGATGGGGAAGGGAGGGAAAAAGATAAAAGCTAGAGCTCAGGCATGTTTTGGGAGAATGAATTCTGAGGAAAGAACACCATGCTAGGTGAGGATCTAGAAACTGATTTCCTTAAAACTGCCCTTCCTAGGAGTGCCCACTGGTTTGCAAACTCCAGACAAATGATCACTGATTTATTTAATAAGCCTAGAGTCAGGCCAGGAACATACGAAGTGTTCAGTAAATACTAATTATGGTTTTATTATTGCTACATCTGTAAATTATCCAGCACAGAGTAGGTGCTTAGTAAACAGGATGCAGAAAGAGTTCATGCACTAATAAGGGGTTGTAACAGGTAAACCTAAAAAGCCCTCTCTCAAGCTGAGACTCTGTCATGCTGGTCTGGAACCTGCCCTGGTCACCTGCAGGACAGATCACTGTAAGTGTAGTAGCTTAAAACAACAATGATTTTATTTGCTCACAATTCTGTAGGTCAGCGATTTCAGCGGGGCTTAGCTGAACATTTCTTCTGGTCTTCGCTGGAGTCGCTCCTGCAGCTGCAGCCTGCTGGTGGATCAGCTGGGGCCTGGCTGCTTTGGGGCCTCAGCTGGGATGACTTGCTTCTGTTCGATGTGGTCTCATTTCCCAGTAGGCTAGCCAGGCTTCTTTATGCAGTAGCAGAAGAGTTCCCTGCAATGAGAGAAAGAGCAAATGAGCAAACCTCAGAGCACAGGGACCTGTTATGCCTTTGCTTGTGACATATTGGTTATTGTTTCATTGGCCAAAGCACATCTGGCGGCCGAGCCCAGTGTGGGGCTGGAGTTTCACAGGGCTGTAGATAGACACAGGGAGGTGTGATTCGTTGGGGCCATCGATGTAATGATGCACAACCCAACTCCGTGGCCCATGGCTTTACTTCTATTTGAAGTGAACTCAGTTGTGAGCTTAGATTGGATACTTATTAGGATAACTGCCTAGGTATTCTTATTTTTCTCTGCTGCTAGAATCTGTTTTGTTTTTTTTTTTCTCAATGAGACCTACTGTGGAGGATGTCTTGCTCTAAGACTGTTTTTCCAAGGGCCCCCCCGGAAGAGCGTTGATCAGAGAACAAAAAGCCAGTTTACAGAGAGGAGCATCTAAGTGGAAACAGGTTGTCCCCAAAGTCTTTCTCATGACTAAGGCAGAGCTTCGAAGTTGGGTGACTGTTACTCCAGGACCTTCCAGGTTAGAACCCACCTTAACCTGGCTTGGAAAAAAAAAGAATGACTGTTTTGGGTTATCACACTAGGAGGTCTGGGGTGTATGGTTTCATGCCTGGCTCAATCTAGGTGTAGAACAGTAGCGAGTCAATGTGGCGTCTGTGCTGTGGTTCTGCTCTACTCATCCAAAGAGAAGTATGAAAGCCCCAAGAAGAGGCTTGTACCAACATCTGGGCAATGCCTGGGCACCTACATTTCCTGGGGATTCCTGGAGCATATATATCTAAAGTAACATTTATTTACCATCTTCTATTTCTTTTCTTTTTACAGCGAGACATTATTTGGTGAAATGTCCTCAGAACAGGTAGGAATATTTTCTTTCTTTTTCAAATGAAACTCTTTGATATTTTACTTTCTATTGATATTACCAAGAAATTGGCTAAATTTGTATCTTTACCTAAGGGTCTGCATGTTAGTCTGCAGATTGGCCTAAAAACATGTGTTCTTCATGCACTTGCATGTTTCTAGATTCCATACTCTGGTTATTACCCCCAGAGGGTCCAGAGAAAATATGGCTCATGCTGGTTCAACATACATGCTGGAGGAGTCTTGGCACCTGCTCCTGGAGGACTGTTTCCCCTCTTTAGGAAGAAACTAGCAGCTGGACTGAACCACTTTGATGCCTTCTGACCACAAATCCTCCTAATTCCCTTCCACCAGTGCCTGCTTGCCTTATGCCCTGCTCTGCAGAATGTGGCCATTTGAAATATATGTGCTGAGATGCTAGCCTTCTAGCTGGTGGAACACACCTCACAGATAACATAACAGTTATATGCAAACTCATAGCGTTTAGAAATTTGAGACTTCTGGTTCAGACACAATGGCATAGGTCAGTTTTTCCCTGCTCTTCCCTGCTAAGCACAGCCATAAACCCTGAAAATAATGTCAACCAAAGGAGGACTCTGAAAGGTGGTAAGAAGAAAATGATGAAAGACAAAGAAAAAAAATTTTTCTTAATTTTTTATTGTTATGTTAATCACCATACATTACATCATTAGTTTTTGATGTAGTGTTCCATGATTCATTGTGCATAAAACCCAGTGCTCCATGCAGAACGTGCCCTCTCTAATACCCACCATCAGGCTAACCCATCCCCCTACCCCCTTCCCCTCCAGAACCCTCAGTTTGTTTTTCAGAGTCCATCGTCTCTCATGGTTCGTCTCCCCCTCCGATTTACTCCCCTTCATTCTTCCCCTCCTGCTATCTTCTTTTTTTTTTTCTTAACATATATTGCATTATTTGTTTCAGAGGTACAGATCTGTGATTCAACAGTCTTGCACAATTCACAGCACTCACCATAGCACATACCCTCCCCAATGTCTATCACCCAGCCACCCCATCCCTCCCACACCCCCACCACTCTAGCAACCCTCAGTTTGTTTCCTGAGATTAAGAATTCCTCATATCAGTGAGGTCATATGATACATGTCTTTCTCTGATTGACTTATTTCACTCAGCATAACACCCTCCAGTTCCATCCACATCGTTGCAAATGGCAAGACCTCATTCCTTTTGATGGCTGCATAATATTCCATTGTGTATATATACCACTTCTTCTTTATCCATTCATCTGTCGATGGCCATCTTGGCTTTTTCCACAGTTTGGCTATTGTGGACATTGCTGCTATAAACATTGGGGTGCACGTACCCCTTCGGGTCCCTACATTTGTATCTTTCTGGTAAATACCCAGTAGTGCAATTGCTGGATCGTATGGTAGCTCTATTTTCAACTGTTTGAGGAACCTCCATACTGTTTTCCAGAGGGGTTGCACCAGCTTGCATTCCCACCAACAGTGTAGGAGGGTTCCCCTTTCTCCGCATCCCCGCCAACATCTGTCGTTTCCTGACTTGTTAATTTTCGCCATTCTGACTGGTGTGAGGTGGTATCTCATTGAGGTTTTGATTTGGATTTCCCTGATGCCGAGCGATATTGAGCACTTTTTCATGTGTCTGTTGGCCATTTGGATGTCTTCTTTGGAAAAAATGTCTGTTCATGTCGTCTGCCCATTTCTTTGATTGGATTATTTGTTCTTTGGGTGTTGAGTTTGACAAGTTCTTTATAGATTTTGGATACTAGCCCTTTATCGGATATGTCATTTGCAAATATTTTCTCCCATTCTGTCAGTTGTCTTTTGGTTTTGTGGACTGTTTCTTTTGCTGTGCAAAAGCTTTTTATCTTGATAAAAAGCTTTTATCTTTTATCTTTTATCTTGATGAAATCCCAATAGTTCATTTTTGCCCTTGCTTCCCTTGCCTTTGGCGGTGTTTCCAGGAAGAAGTTGCTGTGGCTGAAAAGGTTCTGTCGAAAAGGTTCTGCCTGTGTTCTCCTTTAGGATTTTGATGGACTCCTGTCTCACGTTTAGGTCTTTCAACCATTTGGAGTCTATTTTTGTGTGTGGTGTAAGGAAATGGTCCCGTTTCATTCTTCTGCATGTGGCTGTCCAATTTTCCCAACACCATTTGTTGAAGAGACTGTCTTTTTTCCATTGGACATTCTTTCCTGCTTTGTCAAAGATGAGTTGACCATAGAGTTGAGGGTCCATTTCTGGGCTCTCTGTTCTGTTCCATTGATCTATGTGTCTGTTTTTGTGCCAGTACCATATGGTCTTGATGATGACAGCTTTGTAATAGAGCTGGAAATCCAGAATTGTGATGCTGCCAGCTTTGCTTTTCTTTTTCAAGATTCCTCTGGCTATTCAGGGTCTCTTCTGGTTCCATACAAATTTTAGGATTATTTGTTCCATTTCTTTGAAAAAAGTGGATGGTATTTTGATGGGGATTGCATTGAATGTGTAGATTGCTCTAGGTAGCATTGACATCCTCACAATGTTTGTTCTTCCAATCCATGAGCATGGAACGCTTTTCCATTTCTTTGTGTCTTCCTCAATTTCTTTCATGAGTATTTTATAGTTTTCTGAGTACAGATCCTTTGCCTCTTTGGTTAAATTTATTCCTAGGTATCTTACGGTTTTGGATGCAATTGTAAATGGGATTGACTTCTTAATTTGTCTCTCTTCTGTCTTGTTGTTGGTGTATAGGAATGCCACTGATTTCTGTGCATTGATTTAAAGAAAAAAAATCTTAAAAGCAACCAGAGAGAAACAGTGCATTACTTACAGGGAACACAAATTTGAATGACTGTGCAGTTTTCCTTTGAATTGATGGAAGGCAGAAAGAAGTGGCACATTTTCTTTTCTAAAAGATTTTATTTATTTATTTATTTTAGAGAGAGTGAAGGAGAGATATAGTGCATGAGCAGGGTGGAGGGTGGAGGGGCAGAGGGAGAGAGAGAATCGCAAGTGGACTCCTTGCTAAGCGCAGGGCCTGATGAGGGGCTTGATCTCATGACCCTGAGATCATGAGCTGAGCTGAAATTAAGAGTTGGGCACTTAACTGACTGAGCCACCAGGCAGCCCAAGAAGTAGCATATTTTCAAATATTGAAAGAGAAAAACTGTCAACTACAAATTCTATATCCAGCAAAACTGTCTTTTAGGAATAAAGGGGAAATAAAGATATTCTCAGATGAAGGGAAACTGAATGAATTTGTCACTATCAGGCCTATTTTAAAAGAAAGGCTAGAATAAATTCTTGAAATAGAAGAAAAAGCCTTGATACATTAGGAAGGAAGAAGGAACAGTAGCGTGGGAATATTGGTACATAAGTAAGCTCTTCTTTTCCTCATGAATCTTAAAAATAATATTTTATAATCAAAACAAAAATTATAAAACCATCTGATACTCAGGAAGAGCATTAAGATATTTAGAAATGGGGAGGGGAAAGTTACCTAAATAGGAGTGAGCTTTTTACACTTCATTGAAAGTGATAGAAATTTGGTAAGTCACACATTTATTTATCATGCTCAAAGCAACCATTAAAGTGACTATGAAAAAATGCACTCAAAAACAGTATAGAAAAATAAAGCTAGAATCCTAAAATATGTTCCAGTAAATTAAAGGAACAGAGGGATGATAACCACAGGAAATAAACAGAAAACAGATAAGATGTCAGACTTAATTGCTAACATGCTGTTTGTCTTACATAGTTTAAAACTTAAACAGTTTAAATATATCAGTCCAATGATAGAGTTTGACAGAGTGGATTTAAAAAAAACACAAACCACCTACATGCTCTTTACAGGAAACTCACTTCAAACACAGTGACTTAGGTAGGTTGAAATAAAAAGATGGAAAAAGTTATACCACATAAACAATATCAAAACAAATCAGGAGTGGGTATACTAATAATATGATAAAATAGTCTTCAGGGCAGAGAAACTTACTAGAAACAAAGACGGACATTAGATAATGATGAGAGGATCAATCCACCAGGAAGACAAAGATCCTAAATGTATACACACCAAACAGGAGAACCACAAAGTTACATAAAGCAAAAACTGAAAGAGCTGAAAGAAGAAATGGATAAATCCACAGTTACAGTTGGCAGCTCCAGCAACCCCTCTCAGCAGCCAGTAGACCTTCTAGACAGAAGTTAGCAAGGGTATTGAAGATCTAAACACCACAATCAACTGACAGGACCAAATTGATACATATCAAACACTTGGACCACCAACAGCAAAACACTTGTATTTCCAGCCCCCACAGAACATTCACCATAAGATCTAGTCTACCTTAGACCAAATGTTGGGCTTTAAAACAAACCTCAACAAATTTAAAGCAATAGAAATCATATGAACATGTGGAAATGAAACAACACACTTTAAAAATAATACATGGATCAAAGAGGAAGTCTCAAAGAAAATAAAAAAATACGGAGAATTGGCCAAAAATGAGAATAAACATAACAAAACATGTGGGATGCATCTAAAGTAGTGCAGATGGGGAGATACATGGCATTAAATGCTTACATAAGAAATTAGGAAAGCCCTAAAATCAACAATCGGGAAGTCTCACCTCAGGAAATTAGGAAAAGAGCAAAATAAACCTAAAACAGACAGAAGGAATGAAATGATAAAGATCAAAGCATAAACTGATGAAATTGAAAATAGCAAGACAATAGAGAAAAATCAGTGAATCAAAATCTGGTTCTTAGGAGACTGCTGGGAGAAAATGGGTAAAGTGTACCCAGGATCTCTGCTTTATTTCTTATGACTGTATGTGAATCTACAATTACCTTCATAAAAACTTCAGTTAAATGTGAATTTGGATGTCCCTGGCAGATCCTGTTTTCAGCCCCAACAGTCCCTATACCTGACTGCTTTGTGTTACTGCTGCTGAATTTGGGATCCAGAGGAACCCTGTTACTAAAATCAAAATGCAAACTTCTTTTACTGAGAGTTTACACT